GGCAAGTACCATTTCCACGGTCCGACTTTGGAAATGATCGTGCATGCAATGGACTCCGGACTAGGTGCGTTCCTCTAAGTCTTCCTATCAATTTCCTCATATTATTCAGATATTAGTGTGGTGTAAATTATATTGGTTTGTATAGTCTATATAAGAACCCATGGTACCCTTAGTCGTAAAAATGGCGTTAGGACGGAAAGACGAATTTCCCAAAGGTAAGTGACTAGAATGTTTCGTGTTTCCTACCTATTATTCAACAGGTTTTTTCTTTCAGCCGGAACTGAAGTTTTGACCCCAGCCAGGTCTTATCAGCAGCCTTAACGAGATGCGAAACAGAGTTGTTCACGTCATGCGGCAAGGTTGCGTATCAACCATAAAAACCAATATTAATGGAGCTGGCTTCACCTCGTTTTCGCAAATTGGTCGGAGCTTCAGCGAGGCCTTGTGGAACATACCTAGTCATCGTCCTCTGCCATACTATAAATGATTTCAAGCATCGGACCATTGATTTGGTACATCCCCAAGCATCGTAGTCGGCGTCGTCAGTGGGAGACCTCAGTATTAGTATATATGTACAACTCATCAAACTGACAAGTACATGTCAAGTGATAAGTTACAACTATATGCTAGCAATGGGGTCTTTCCCTGAGGATGCTGGCGATAGGTTTGGCAATGTATCAGGCCAATGGTCGGATGCTGGGAATAACTAATACTCTGGCAGAGGACGTATAACCAAGTATGTTCTACAAGGTCTGTAATGTTTCGATCAAATTGTAAAAAAGAGGTCAAACCAATACAATAAAGCTAAAGGAGACTGTAGTTGAGAGTGTTCCCTTTTGGCCCTCATGCCTACACTATCAATGGAATCAACGGCAGATACGAGTTTCATGACAAGACAGGCCTCTACTTCATATTTATAATTGGAATTGTGTTGATGAAGCAAGCTTGTATTAATTACAACACCCAAATATATTCCTATAGAACGATTAAATACCCTTTTAAATTTTCAGAAGATCATATATTACAGACCTAGTCACCATGTCACTTAAAATAGCGATATTTGCATACTCTATAAATTTTCTATCTAATAATATGGATGATTTCAGCGGCTTTATTGACACAATTCCATCTAGCAATGTTAAGTGGGAGTGATTTAGCTTGCCTTGAAAGTCACACACTTCGTGGATCGGGGTAAACTTTTGCTTGACGAGAACTACTCCGTTTAGAATCCTGTCTATAGTTAAGGCAGCATCTCAGAAAGGACAAGAAAGCCTTTGGTAGGACAAGGATAACAGAAATTAAAAGGAATATTGGGGCTTTATACTCATTTCTTTGTGGCAAATTCAAATTTTAGTCCTCACTTCACCTTAAGTAACGTTAGGTTGCCCTAGTGTTTATTCACTGTGAACCGAGACCTACCAAATTTGCACGATTTGCCAACTCTTGCATTACGCTTATTCGATACTGGAAATATTTTTGTCATTTAGCCCCTTTTTTAGCACAAAAATAATTATAGCGACATTTGTCTCGAAAACTTGGCGTCCTTAGTATATTAATCTACTTATTCCATGCATATTGTTTGGCATTCAAGAGAGAGCCTGTATATTGGAATTCAGACATCATTCCTTTGGTAGGAACACTTCAGTAAATCCCAGATTACACGGTATTCATGAGCTTTTGCACGTACCACGAAAGCTACCCATTAAATGGGTCTGAATTTCCCACTTAGATTTTTTAAAATTCTTATAACTTGGTATCTTCTCCTTTTGGTATGCTTCAGGTAGAACAAATTGCCAAAGGTAAAACTTTATCAACAGAGTCTAGCCTTAGATGTTCCTCTAGCCTTACTTGATCCAGACATTCGGGGTATCCGGCCGTTCCGTTAGAAATGTCTCGAATCGGGAAAGTGCGTCTAGGCGTAGCTTAGTGTCCATCACGGAGCCAAGACAACAGCGCTCCACTTGGTCGCCTCCGATTGGGATACCCCAACTTGCTAACTCACGCTCCAGGAGGGGTCCACACAGGTTCCCTGGGAGGTGGAGCCGACAGCCGAACCTGAGGTAGGCGTGTACAAACCTGAAAACGACAGCGTCGTGTTCCAGGAAATACTCACCACGATCGGCCAGCCAGACTGCCTGCCGGCGGACGGCTTGAAAGACAAGTGGGTCGTTTTCTAGAGTGCTTCTTCGAACGTGGAATGCAGTGCCACTGATATTAAGCCGAAGAATATCATGTCGGTCGAAGTAGTGTGATTTCTCAGGAGCCCTTCGGTAGTGCCTTCTACGAGAGATGTAATCTCTACCCACTTTGGAACTAGCGCTTGATGATCGGCGCAATCGGACTGATCTACGAGGTCTGCCATGAAGGCTGCACCTTTGAGAGTTCAGTGAACAAGTGCTTCTGGAAGAGCTGGAGGATGCTGGAGAGGAAGAGAAGGCAAAGAGTGAAGCAGACGGATACACTGACGCGCCATCTGACGAAGAAGACGGGCATTGTTCCCTCTCCCGAGGTAAAGTCGCACTGTCCGTGTGTGCCTCCGCCTCTTCATCAAAGAACTCCTCCGCAATGTCCGTCTCCTTTGCCTTTCTAGTAGATGCCTCTAGTCCTGTCCACTTTGGACCAAGAGAACGGTCTGAAGAAAAGATACAGGCAACCGGATGGTTGCTGACGATTGAAGTACGCTGGCGTGGGCAAAGAGTCTGCATAGGAAGACTAGATACCTCAGCACCGCTAAGGACC